CGTCCTCTTCTGCCTGACTGGGCGTTCGCTTCGCTGGACGAACGTCCTCTTCTGCCTGACTGGGCGTTCGCTTCGCTGGACGAGCGTCCTCTTCTGCCTGACTGGGCGTTCGCTTCGCTGGACGAGCGTCCTCTTCTGCCTCGCTGGACGAGCGTCCTCTTCGCTGGACGATCGTCCTCGTCGCTCGTCCACAAACGCTCGTCCACAAATCACATACACAGTCAGAAAAACGTTAGATTTATAACTGCGTTAAGTGGGTAGGATTCAATTGATACAAATTTCAAAACATAGGTACCAAATGCCTACATTTTTAAAACCGGGTACTAAATAGCAAATTACCTCCGAACATGGTGACTAAGTAGGTAATTAAGCCAAGAAAAAACTTCAAAATTTTCCGAAAACGGTTCTATCTTAACTTTGTTAATAAAGAAATATCACTTTACAATTATGAACAACCTTATTAAATACGAAAAAAAAAATAGAAGAAAAAGTTAAAGAATCACACCAATAATTTTTACACTAATTTGATTTTTTCTAAATCTACATCTATTTAATTCAGACAACCTTAGCTAAATTTTTCACTAATTCTAGATAAAAGTCTAATTATAAGATCTTTCTATATAACAAGACTAGAAACAAATCTAACTTTTCTCTTTATACACACTTTAAAAAAGAAAATGAAAACTCAAGTTAATGAATTCAATCAATTACCTATAGAAAACACCAAACACCGGCATGAAATTCAAATCAAATTACAAAATGATTTATATTGAAATTATAAAAATTATTTATATTTATTTTATAATTATAATTTTACAGTTTTTGTTAACATGAAAAAAATGTTATCATAAAACATATTAAGTTTAATATAAAACTTTCAAACTAACCCAAATAAATATAATTAAACTAAATTAAGTTTGGTTGAATTTATTTATTTTAATTATTTAACAACTAAAAATCCTACATCATCCAATTATAACTCATTTTAGATTGAATCAATCATATGTGATAGAGTAATTTGTTTTATCACATATTATTCAATATAAAGATATGTTTCTTAGTATCTATAAGTTAAGATAAATTTGTAATAGATTCACAAATAATATTTATATGAGAAATAAATGATGAAGTTAGTTTTTATGATAAATTTATTAGAGAAATAGTATATTTGTTTTTGTTAATGAGTTGGAATGAATTAAAATAATAATAATTGAATTTAGTTTGACTAGTAGATTTTTACATTTGGCATGAGTTCCAAAATTACACAGCAGCCACTCACAATCAATCATATGAAACCGAATAACAGTCACATGATGACTCATTCATTACATTACATAACAACAAAACCAACGAACCAAACAACCAAAATTTTCATTTAAAAGTTGCCTCTTTCCGACGCTGCTTCTGACAAATACAACATTCTACCATCCCAAATGTCGGTGAGTCCCTAAATCTTTCTACAATTCCCTTTTTCCACAGATCCACTTCGTTTCAGATCCTATCTGGGTTTCTTCTTTCTTCATGCCTTCTTCTGTATTTCATTGTCTTTTCTTTGATGCAAGTGGGGACTTTGCAGTTGCTTTGATTCACATTTACATATTCAGTGATTCAATGCAACCCTTAGCTGTGGTTTAGATGTTGTAGTTATGATGAATACAAGAACTGCTAGTTTGGGATTTTGGATCTGCAATGTTTCCTAATGACCCTTTTGGATCTAGTGGAAATGGTTTTTGTATTTTTTGGCTCTCCAGAAAAGAGCAAACCTGAATGTTGAATTGATTTGTTCATGATTTGTTATCTGGGCAATGGCAGATTAGTGTGAGAAATGACATCTATATAAATCCCAACACCACTATACATGGATTGTTAGAATCAGTTGTTAGTTAGGTAGTGATCATACTTACGTCTACCTAAGCAAATGTGGATTATTTGTCTTAAATCTTGACCTTCTATATATGATTGTATGTTCCATATTATATTTCTTACAATGTTAAGAATTTTCAGTTTATATGCTTCTGTGACTAAGATTGGTGGTTGTTATTGATGTCAAGTCATCAAGTTCCTTTGCTTGGACTTGTGATGATTCATCTTCTTGGAATTTGAATTGCTTCTTTTCAAGTGGACACTATCACATTGATGTTGTCTCTTGGTATAACCTTTCCTCTTGGCTTGCTTATTGAATTGACTCTGTTGTTTTGCTTTACCTTCTAAGCTATGAGAATGGTACTCGTTAGGAACTGCACTTTCTGTTCTTGCTTTCACTTAATTCCATCGTTGCTTTATGGATTAAAATATGACTCTCTTTTTTTCATTGGATATTCTTAATTCTTTGGAAGGAAATTGAAAAATGATCACTTTCTTCTGTTTGACCTTCTTGTTTTACATTTTCTCCTTCTGCACATGTCATTGTTTCTTCCACTGCATATTCTGCAGAATGTCATCATAAAACTACCTTAAATTAACAATTTGTGTGCAGGTCACTTTGGACTATGCTGGTCAAAGAGCTGAAGCTATTCCTCAATCCACACCAATACCGAATTGGACTATTCATGTGTCAGACGTGAGGAATAAATCTTTACATAGTAACATCAGTTAGCATTATGATTGTATTATGATTGGTGAAATTTCCAAGTTCACTCTGTTTTGATTTCTCACAGATAAGAACAGTTAAGGTTAGCAACATATCACTGGTTACTTCCAAGGTGGAGATTCGAGAATTCTTTTCATTCTCAGGTGATATTCAGTATATTGAGATGCAAAGGTCAGAGAACTTGCAATGTTTTACTCATTTTTCATGATTGTTAATGTTGAAACTTTTACCCTCAATGCCTGTCTCCCTAATCTTTGGTTTTTAATTCTACAGGGAAAGTGACCGCACTCAAGTTGCTTATGTTACATTTAAGGATACACAGGGAGCAGATACAGCAGTTCTCTTAACAGTATGTTTCTGTGCAAATGATTTTTACCTTTCGTAAATGTCACATTAGATTTCCAAATAATGAGATGGGTTGCACCAATGTACATCATTAACCCTTTCATTCAATCCCTGAAACTGATAGAAATTGCATAAAATCAGATACTTTAGTTGATTTTGTTTTTAAATCCTGTGCTTAATCTTCATTTTATTAAATAGGGTTCAAAGATAGGTGATCTATATGTCACAATCGCACCTGTGGAGAAGTATCAGCTTCCCCCTGATGCTGTTCCAGTAAGTCCGGTAAGTATTAACTTTTCCAAGAGATTATGAGCTAATTTTAATTTGTAGAGAAACTTGTTTTATTTTCTCTTTATATTTGTTTCTCGTGCAAGTTCTTATAAAGAAGTTAATCTAAATAGGTTGATAGTTTAAATGTTGTGTAGTTTATTTTGCATGCAATTGTATGTGGTAAAATGTGCGAGATACATGAAGTTTTGCTGAACTAGTAGTATATTTTATTTTTCTGTCTCATTTTGTTATTACTCTTGATAGAATCCTCCTAGTTTTGGGCTTTGAAATTTATATGGTGCCTAAGATCTTTGTCTGGATATGGTAGCTAAAGATTTTGAGATTTACTATCTTCTGATGATGTCTGCAACTTATCTGGCACAATAAAAACAATTCTGGGCTGAATATTACGGTGCAAAATCAAATTACCAATTGATTATTAGCATATCAAGCTACGCTCTGCTGAAACATTTTCTTATGAGGTTAGATTAATAACTGAATTTAAAGGGCTATATTGTGGATGCTATTTAAAGCTGTGTGCTGCACAGACGTAGAGGATAGTTTTAGCTCTTCAGTTAGATCTACATGCAAAATGTCTGAACTGTATAAAATATTTCTTTCACTGTCAAATTGTAAGTATCTAATATATGTTGTACAATGGTGTTATAAGTAGAGAAACCAAAGTGGTGATGCAGTAAAGAAGGCTGAAGATGTAATGAGCACCATGCTTGCTAAGGGTTTCATTTTAGGAAAGGATGCCATCAACAAGGCAAAAGCCTTTGATGAGCGTCACCAGTTGACCTCAAATGCATCTTCCAGAGTTGCTTCCATTGATCGTAGAATGGGTTTCAGTGACAAAATAAGTATTGGAACAGCTATTGTGAATGGAAAAGTGAGAGAGATGGATGAAAAATATCAGCTTTCTGAAATGACAAAGTCTGCTCTTGCTGCTGCAGAGCAAAAGGCAAGCAGTGCTGGATCTGCTATCATGAGCAATTCTTATGTATCAACTGGAGCTTCATGGGTGTCTAGTGCCTTTAATGCTATAGCAAAGGCAGCTGGGGATGTCAGCAGCATGACAAGGGAGAAGGTTGAACAGGCAGAGGTGGAAAGGAATGAGATCATTTATAGTGAAAGGAAAGGGACTGTTGACGAATTTGGAATGAAACGCTTTCAGGATGCTTCAGACATGGGTCCTGCAATAGTTCCTGTTAATTCACATGATGACCATAAGCTAGAAATTATATAACTACTCAGAATTCTTTACATCCTCACATGCACAGTTGGATTTATTTAGTTAGAATAGTTATTGTCTGAGCTTTTATTTTAGAATGATAAGTTTTATTGATTGTTACAGCAATGTACAAGTTTGTCTGGCAGACGTGTGGTTCCTAAATACGGTCAACATTTATGTCATAAAGTTATTCTTTATTTTTTAGTCTCTTCTTCATTCAGTTCTTCTTTTATGACATGTTTTCGGAAATTTAAATTTGCAGGAGATTGTATCAACGAGAGTATGGTAAAATGTTAAATGTTTTGCTGACTTTCCCTTAAAATGAAAAGAAAGAATACGTATATTTGCTTTGTTTTTCACATATATATTTCACTGTGTTCAATGTCTTTCCTTGGATGGTTTTCCATTTGCTAGTTCTAGAGTCAAGCTTTAGTGCTATGAAATTCTCCTTAATGAGATCCCTACTTCATTTTCACTCCGCAGTATTCAGTTCAGTTTTCACTTTTTAGTTTGGTTACAGTCTGAACTGCAACATATAGTAACCTGAAGTGCTGGTTACTTCCTGTTAAGCATATATTTGTCACTCTGTAGTTGGGCTAAAGTCGGTGATTTTCTGTATTGATGTGGTCGTTAGCAAATACATTTCGCCAAAAACTAATTAATCCCTATGCTTATCTCTAGAAATTCATTCAACAGAAAATCTGGACACTTTGTACAATGGTGATTTAATGCATGTAATTAAAATTCCAAGTGACCAAACATGATCGAAGGTCGCGAGGAGGCCACAAAAGACCATGTCTGAAGAGGAAAGAAACAATCAAATACAATGTAAGATAAACCTTTGTATAAGCCTGTAATATCTTTGTAGGTCATTAACTGTTAACAGCTGAATTTCCTGTGCGTTGAAAGGTTCTCAGGGCTTCCGAAAAAATGTGTACATTTTTTCCTTCTATACCGATATACAGACAATCAATATAGTTACATGTGGAAAAAATAACATTCCCTTGCTCTTAGGGAGACGAATGAAATTTATTTTGTATTAATGACGAATAAACCAAGAATAAGAAAGTCATTTGTCTTCTGTTGGTTAGGAACAATTGCCACCATACTGAGGTGTATGGCCAATGCCTTATGCCTCCTCTCTAACTAGTGCGTTATCCTATACAGCGTAACAGCGTTTCCAGGCTCTGTTGAAATGAGTGCAAGTTTCATGTTAAACACGTGAACAAAACCGAAGATAATAGGGCAAAGTGAATGATAAAGGAAACATTTTGTTTCATTCTAGTCTTGGTGTGAGGCTTTTCTCAGTTCAAGAAATAAAAGGATTTGATTATTTTCACAAATCTTGTTGTATTCTGGCACTTTTTCATCACGACATTTTAAGTTTTTCCTTCATTCTTTTTTCTGGTTTAAACCTCAAACCAAAACCGAAGAGAAAAGTACACCGACAAATTACAATAAATTGGACTATCTTACCTCTATGCACTCGTACAAATTCTCATCTTTTGATCTAACGTGGATCTGCAAAATCATAAGATTAATTATATACATGAAATTTAATTATCAATCTTATAGTTTAAGGTCTCTAAAAAAAAGAAAGCTAGAAAGGAGAAATAAATGAATCATATTCATATATGTAGTGATTCAGAAACAAAAAAGGCACGCTCAACTCTGCAGATTTGCAGATTTATATAAGAACAATGATACACTGTATAATTAATGTTTTCACAACCTCAGTTCAAATCTACAGCATATAAATACTACTGTATTCCTATTTCGTTGATTTTATGAGCTAAAATTACAATGATGTACTAAAATATTAAGAAGCAGATCTGGCATTGCCTAACCGTGTCATATTATATTTAACCCCGACTTTGTTGACTTAAGTAGCAGATAAAGAGTAGGTTCTATAATGCAATAGTAGTTACCCCGATTACTTTGAGCGGTGAACTTTGATTGAATTCAAGACCAGCCAGGACTACAAGTGCTGCAGCAACTGTTGAAGGCCAGTAACACAGTTGCTCATGAGATGACAGTGTCAGCACTGCCAGATACTTGACCCTCTTCTCAATGACTGCATCAGCATTGGCTGCTTTTAGGTAAAAGCTGTAAAATTAAAGGGTGGAGGGTAATTTAGCTGAATCGTAAAGAAATCGGTGGGAATGACTTTACTTTCTTGCACTTTTAGAAAGGTTAAATTGCAACTTTGTTTCTCTTTGATTTCTAATAATGTGCACCTTATTTTTATTTTCTCTTATTTTATTGTCATTGTTGTCCACAGATATTCAAAATTAACTATTTTTTATTTAATTAATAATTTTTATATGTTTTATTTGTTATATTTTGGTTCAATTGAATTCTAAACTTTGACAAATTTATTAAGTATTATAAAACTATTTTAATTAATTAAATATTAAAAATAAAATAAACTATAGAATGTTAAGAATTGCACAAAAATTATGGATTTTTAAAAATTTGAAGATAAGAATAAAAGAATGAAAAAAAACATAAATAAAAAATAAAAATAAAATCCAAAACTTAACTTATCCTAAAATACGCAAAGCCTTTTCTAATTGGGGCTATGTTAAGTAACAAGTACAAAAGCTTCTTTTCATTTTTTACTGACGCACGGTATTTAAGGCAAAAAGACATTCCTTGTTAGAGACATGAAAGCAAGTTTTTGCTTAAACCATTCATTTTAAAATTGAAATGGTTTCCCCAAAAGAAACAAAAGTCTGATTGAATACCTAAAACAACGAGTATCAGCTAACATTTAATTTATGCAGAATTTCAGTCATATTCGTGCTATAAAATTAAAAAGTTAATGGTATACCACAAGAAATTGTAGATGGTAGGCCGAAAGCACTGAAACTTGAGCACCTCCTGCACCATCCATTCCATAGCTACCACCTCGCCTCTACTGTACCTATTGTTTCCTATGTTGAAATTGCTTTGCCCCACCCTGTAATACCCACAAAGGAGTTCAGTTATTCATTGGGCATAATGACTTTCATGAATTTAATTTGAATAAAGAATTGTTAAATTCTGTTAGTTATCACTTTCCCGGTTTATAGGAGAAGGAAGTATATGTAAAAAAGAAAAAAGAAAATTAAAATATTACAAGGGGCTTTTTAACTCTACTCATGGGATAGTAAAACTTACAAAAACAATTATTTATATATTCTAAATTTTAACCTAAAGAGAGCTAATGCTTTACAAAATAGAATTTATGTAAAATTGGATAATGTTGGGAACTTTAGGGACAATCGTTATTCTTTAAATTAAGAATGCATGATTAATGAGGACAAATAAACTGAAGCTCTAAAAAATGAAGTCCTGGTCTATTTTGCATTTTCCTTGTTCTCAAGGCCGTCACCAGCCGTAGACCAGTGATACACAAGATTGAAAATAACATTTTTGCCCAAATAGGAGGATGGGGAGAAATGTAAAGATTTAAAGTTGAACCTGTTGTATTGCTGATTTTCTTCGATCCTGGTTGCTAACGTGAGGCAAGCTATTCCAACAATTTGAAGGCGTTTTTGGACTTTGAAGTATCCTTTGTTTAGGAAACGGTCAAGTAGGTTGACGCCAAGAAAAATCGTCTCTTGCCGAAGCTGTTTTCGACAAGATTGCTGCCAAATTTCAAGAAATAAGGCCTTGTAAACAAATTCTACACTCGATTCAAAGTCCAACAACTTCCACAGAAGCAAAATTTAGAAATACTTGAAGCTAAGAACGTTGTTATCCAAATCTACGAAGGTTCGCATAGATAATTGTTATCATACATTAAGAATAAATAATAATCCTTACCAAACATAATTAATAACGAGAGAAATTAACTGCGTGGTGATGGATACTTCAAATATATTTGCACAGTTATATATATATATATATATATACACATGTGTGTATTTTGGCCGAGCTTAAAAGGTTTACAGGGGTTTGGTCCCTAATAATTTTTTTTTCTATATTGTATGTATTGAGATAAGTCACACAAAAAATATTATATTCATTAGTTTAATTTATGAATTATTTTTTTTGTGTGAATGTTATTTAAAACGGTCTAAAATCAAACTTGGTGGGATATATATGGTAATAATTGCACAGATATCAGAAGTACCGTTTATTTTTCCTACCAGGCCATATATAGCCATTCAATTCCTTTCCAATTACCTTAAAAATTGTCGAATGAACATTCTATCTATATGAAATTTTGAAGCATTAAAATAATGGTAGACTTGTGAGGTTAGCTAGTCTAGCAAAATTTGCTGGAAGTAATCTTTTGCAAACTAACCAGAAAGGAAATAATTTCACCTTACCTATTATATGGTTCTCTTCGTTTAGGTTCAAGTGAAAAGCAAAATAGTGGTGATACATGGACACTTCTATTTTTACTCTACACCTTCATAATACTAATAAAACTATATTTTTTTTAAATATAAAATAATTATAAAAAATTAAATAAAAGATAAAAATATTATATATTTTTAGAAAAATATTTTGGTGTTAGAACTAAAATTTTCCAAAGCAAAATGTATACCAAGTAACTACCCACATGCGCCAATCCGAGAAAAATGCGTTGCATGATTGCATGAGCACAATGCACGACAATTGAGGGATTTACAAAAGTACGCCGCGGCACTCGCCGAGACATTCTTCTTCCTATTGAATCTCGCGTGTCATGACACAATTGGATGCCACTCACACTACTCCAACAATATGTTGTACGGAGGATGACCTTTTAACGGAATCAAGTTTGGTTCTCACCCTCTCTTCGAACGTGTTGTCTCTCTCACCCAATCCAAAACACGATTATTTATACCATTTAATTATTGAAAACTAAATATTTATGGCATAATCTATAATATTTGTATAGTTTTTATTAGATAGCATTTAGTACTAGAGTCGATTATTTTTTCAATAATCAATTTGTTGGAGAGATATCACTATCTGTACCATTTTTTGTCCTACTGTCAAGAAATAATCAATGTTTATCATACAAGAATATGCGATAGTTCTATAATTATAGTAAAATTCTTAATAACATTAATTTTATTTTCTATAAAACTATATAAAATAAATTAATCAAACCACAAGTGTAAAAGCATAATGACTTGGAATTGGATATAACCTACCTCAACGATCCAGTGAACCATTTGCGCACGTTGCTCAAGCACGGTCTCTCCGAATTCAGTGGTAGAGAAATATCTTTCACCATAATTCGACACAAAACCTTGCTTCCTCTCCCTCTTCCTCAGCATCTGGTAGCTGTCTTCGTCATCAGAATCTTCGAATCTTACAAACTAAAATCCACAAAAACATACGTACACCACCAGATAAGAACTCTTAATTATATAATAACAGATAGAAAGAGCTAGGCTAAACAGATTCCTGACAGGTAGTAATATAAGTAACTTAGAATTCTGAAGTCGAAGCTAGCGAAACCTACATCAGCTTCATCTTCGTCACTTGAAGAAGAGTTCACCACTGGAGAAGCGGAAGTTAGAGTCGTGAACTCCTTGCGATACTGAAGGAACAACAAATACGTTGGTGAAGAAGTTTCTCCGTCGGATCCCTCGGAAAACTGGCTTCCAGAATCCACGAACAGCGACGGAGTGTAATCCGAAAGCTCCTGCTGCGAGCATTCACCGAAAATCTCAGAATGAAATTCAGAGAACACAGTTCCCTGACTGGAACAATATTCCGATTCGTCATCGTCGTCACAGTATGAGAAACGCAGTTCCTCAGAGCAAGTGAGGTCCACGACGTCGTAATTTTCCGATTCCTGCCTCGTCATCGATTGCACTACTAAATCCCCGCAATTCTCTTCCGCATGGAGATTTTTAGAGCCTGCAGAGTATTCACATTCCAACGCTCTGTTTTCCTTGCTGCTATTCTTTTCCTCCTCTAGCGACGCGCGAACAAAGGAACTAAACGATGCGACGTCGTTTCCGTTTGACTCCGAAGAGATTTTCATGTTTCCGTTTCCACTGGAGGACTTCAAATTGAACTGTTCCTCGCAAGTTATCTCTGATTTCCCGCACGAAACGTCGTCATTTTTTTCTACGTTCTTACTCTGGCTTCTGCTGTTCAACTTCAGAATACCAGTAATATCCGATTTTATGCAAACTTCCGAAACGTCATCTTCTCCTCTCAGATTATTATATTCTCTTCCGCTTTTGAACTTCAGAATTGACCTCCTGCTTCGATCTTGAGCAAACGAATTGGAGTCCGCGCACGAAGACTCCGACACCTCCACTTCGTTCTCATCTCGTTTCTCGAACCTCTGATTTCTCATTGAATCGATCGATGATTCATTTCTTGAGTTCCTGTTTCCCTTGCCGGCTATGGAAGCTCTGCTGGAGTTGCAAGAAGCACCGCCTGCAGCAAAGTCAGAACCGGAACTGGAATCCACGGAGAAACGAGGATTCTGGCAAGAGTCACTGACTAGAAGAACAGGAGAGAAGTTTTGCCTTCGCCGGCGAGGCAACTTCTGCCTATGCTTCTTAGTGACGATGACCGGAGGTGGCTCTAACTCGAGCTTGCGCTTCAATTTCCTCGATCTGGTTATCATTGCTGTACGGTTAACCAAAACAACGCAGAGAAAATTCCAGTGTTAAATCGTTGTTGTTGTGATGATTGAAGAAGAGAGTGTGGGAAGTGTGTTTGAACGGTTACGGGAAGTTGTGGAAAGAAATGATGAAATGAAAACGAGGGAGAAGGGTATATATATGGTACGGTCCCACGTAATGCGTTTTCCCTGCACCACATCCACGCATGATGTTCATTTCCTGGAACTAGAACTATTAAGAGCATTAAAATAGTATTTACTTTTCAAAGTTTATTATATATTTGTAATTAATTGAAATATTTTTCAAATAATCATCTCAATTTATAAAATATGATTATTGTTTTAGTAATATCTTAACCATTTTTTTAATTATATTATTATTATTTAAATATTGAAACATATCTTTATTTTCTTAAACTTTTCAGAGACTTGTCCTCAAACGTCACCTTGTTCCATTAGAAAGGTTCAGAGAATGAAATGTTTAAATGAAAACTTGTGTTAAAAAAAAAACTTTAATAAGATAAGGGAAGAGAGAATGAAAGTGTGAAAGCACACATCTATTCATTATGATTCACTTCCCAACACATGTGCATGTATATTTATTGACAATTTTGTTAAGCTTTTCAGGAATCGGTACAACACCAAAGTACATGATTGTTCACTTTCCAAGTTTTTTCAAACTCCTCTGGTTCAAATTTGTTTTGTCTATATAAGATTATGAATTTGACTTCCAAGAAAATAAATTCTGGAGTATGTTTTTGTCCATCATTTCTATAAAATAAGTTACAATTTTAACTTAGGTTTCTTTTTTTTTTTCTAAAACTAAAATTACTAATATTTTAAGTATTCAAATAAATTTATTGAACAAATTTTCTTGCTTGTCATATTGAACCTCTAAAAAAATGGTCACATCTAAAATCAGTTACACTGATGAAAATAGATAAAATCCATAAAGGAGAGAGGGTTTAAATTTGTATTTAATTTTATTTTTTGCAATTTTTTCAAATTAATATAAAAAAATATTTTCTAGATTTTGTTTTGGTAAAACTATTCTTCTTAGTTGCAGATCAATAACATGTGGTGTAACATCCCAATAAATAGTAATTTCCATTAATCAGAACTAATCACATTTACAGTAAATACAGTGCAGTCTTAATATTTATAACAGCTGTTCCAAAGGAAAACAGCACGTACAGCCAATTACAGCGTTCAGAATTCATGATCAATTCAAAACCAGTGCTGAATAATCTATTCTGCAAAACTATATACAGAACTGCTAAAAATACAGCACAAAGATCTAATATCTACTACAGAACGAGCCGCTACTGCTCAGCTTTGACTTCAACTTCTACCAAGTTGGCATCCTCCAAATTTTCTTCTTCTAGCATTGTTTCTAGGTGTTCCTCTCCATCTGCTCACATCTACAACGGATGATCATTGCATTGACAAGACGGACATACAAAAACAGTAGACAACACAAGGAAAATTGCAAGGGTAAGCTTAGGTAATTTAATTCAATACAATCAACATATTTTAACATAGCAAATCAATCATACATTTCATACAACATTAGACATATATCCACTCATACAGTAACTCATTCAGATTCTCATAATTAAAGACTGTCCGGACTGTATGATCCATGTATCTACAGGCGTTCTTGCACCCGGGTGATGTAGTAACTGGGATGCCCTCAACAGCTGCCACCCGAGGTTAACCCTATCAGTCCAAAGTACTCAGTAGGACTAGGGTCTCCTGCCATTCCCACGCATGACCTACTCCCCTCTACTTGAGGATGAGCACTCACGGAATATCAGGATGAACAGCCATCAGCAGCTTTACCATGGTCATACTACACTACTTCTCATATTCACATCATGGAGACGTTCCTCCTTGGAACGCTCATTCACAATCCAAATCTCATAATTCCATTCAAATCACCATT